AAACCCCTGGTAAGGTTTTGAGCAGGGGCGCTGTTGGGGACGGGTTTTAGATTTGGCCATGGGTCAAAACCCCGTACCCTCAGTGAACATCCCAATCGCCACGAAAATAAGTTCTAAAATGGGTGGTGCACCTACCCCAAAATGGGATCCCATTGGTTTTGACCCACAGTTATGTCACAGTGGGTCAATCACCTGTTTAAACGTGTTCATTGGGATTGAACCGTTGCTTCAAAATGGGTGGTGCACCTGCACAACCAGTGGATCCCAAAACGGTTTTCAGCCATGGCCATTTGGGGCTTTGCGCCAAAGGCCGCTGTACAGCTGCTGGGAAGATGCTCACTGGCGCTCCTGGTCACCGCACCAGAGGCGTGAAAAATGGACAGCGAATCAAGGAATGGGAGACGGGTCAAGGGGACACCGCGTGCTTCATGGTTCTTGGCATGTTTTGATTTTCCATTTTGTGGGTTTTGTTCATGTTTAGGTTCGGGGGCTGCCAAAAACAAGTCAGTTTGTTGCCAGCCCATACCAAGGGTTGTGAAGTGCAGAAACCTCTGAGACCAGCGGGTTGCTTCCCTTTTTCTGCATTTTTTGTTGGACGTAGTCACCCCCGCAGAACATGGATCGAAGGGTTTTTGTCTTACACCTTGGGAATACACCCACTGGGTATTGACCCCATTTAGGCACATTTCGGGATAAAACCGTGCTATTTTGAACCATTTTGGGTCATTTCCCAAGGGTGTATTCCCAGGGTGTAGTACAACACCCCTCAGAATGGAAGCTCCCCCGCTTGGCGGGTTACCAAGTTTTCCATCTCGGGGCGAACTCGGGAGCTTCCGTGGAATCGCCTGGGGGAGAGTGTCAAAACGGGGAGCATGGCCACCGGGGGGCAACGCGAGTGGAGTGGCAGCTTGATCTTGACTGTGGGTCACCAACCTCCAGCCAGGGAAGCAGCCATTGAGTTGTGGGTGCGTCTTTTCTTAGGGGAGCCCCCAAATGGAAGTGTCCAGTTGGTTTCCCTTTAAGCCCCACAAAAACGGGGGTCAATTGAAAAAAAGAGACACCCCCATTGATCCGTAGAGCAACGAACCATGACCCTTACTTTTGCAACAAGATGAACCCCGACGGAGTGGTCAGGCAGTATTGCTGCCAGCATGAGCACCTCTACTGCGACGATAGCATGGACACGCATCAGCACTACCACACCCACGTGGTGCCGTACGACACGCACACGCACTACCACACGCATTACACCACGCAGTACCACACGCACCACACGCATGTGCCTTGGCGTGAGGCCCCCTGACGTGCTGGGGGCAGGAAGTGTGCAGAGTTGGTGCCAGCTTCACACTACTAGAGCTCTGTTTTTTTCAGCTCCCAACTTGATTGATTTTACACCTTGTAAGCTCTTGGTGGAATGAACCACCCGTGCTCAACAAATGATCCCCTTTCCTGACAGGAATTGGCGCGGACTGAGGGAATTGGGGCAAGCCCCAAGAAACCCACGAGCCTTTTCAGCCCAACTGGGGTTTTCCAAGAATACCGTCTCTTTGAGTCACCCCCTTGCGGATTCCTGAATTCCAGTTGGAGCGAATTGGTGTAAGTCTTTGGACAAAATCCACAAGACGCACCAGTTGGAGTGGAGAATTCTACTTTGCCTGTTTTTGGGGTACCCATGTCTTGGAGGTTTTAAAGGTAAACTGTGGTGGTGTCCAGCAAACAAATCACACACACACACACACACTCACCCATGCGGATGGGCAAAATACCACCAAGTGTGTTCGTTTGGAGTTCACACTGGGCTCGGCAACTGGGTAAACCTTCAGACAGATTCCAAGCATTCTTCCGTGCTTTCTTCTCCAGTGTTTGCACATATCTTGGTGGCTCCAAGCTATCCCCTTAGCTTTTTAGCCTTTTAGTGTTTAGTGGTAGTTTCAATTCATTTAACCCACTAAAAGTCATGCACTTTAAGCAGGGAATCAGAAAACGGGCAGCCCAGTTTAGTGGGACATAAGATGTTCAGGCCTTTGGCCAATCCACTCAGAACTAGAAACAAGTTTGGATTCCCGCGAGCCGTGGTGCCAGATATCCATTCACCAGTGACCCGCTCTTTTAAACGGCTAGCGGTTGGTCAGGGTCGTGTCTCCTTGGAGTCCTGGTCTTGTTTCTGGGGAACAGGATCTAAAGGGGTAGGATGCAGGCGGTGTTTGATCTTGTTGAGAATCCAGGGGCCTTAGAGAAGATGTTGAGAATCCAGGAAAAGCCTTAGAGAAGATTTCTTTTCTACAATTTGAGGGGGCTTCCTGTCTTGTCAAAAGGGACATGGTCGAAATGCAGACCCGGCATAGATGAGGGCTGGACCAGACCACTGGATTGGTCTCAAAATCCAACACCCTAGAGAAGAGATTTTGGGCAAATTGTCACGACGAGTTGTTTTTCTTTCTTTCTTAGTTTTTGGGGGGGTTGGGGGGGGGGGGGTGCAACTTTCTTCATCCGGATTCGTTCTGTTCGGTTGGCGAAACAATAAAAACAAAAAACAAAAAAACAATTGCCCAGATATTTTGGGGGGTCCCTAAGGGAGGACACACCCAAAGAGCCTTGGACATCCGTCATGTGACAGCCTCAGCTGGCTGAGGTGAATTTGCCTTTCGATTGCGCGGCCGGCGTCTCCAACTGGAGGTGGGACGAACGGCGTAAACGGTGTTATCCATTCGAGTTGTTCAATTTTTTAGGAGTTCTCATAACTATTTTCGGGTGTTGGCCCTTGGACCACCATTTGGAGGGTGATTCTGAGGATGTTCGCAACTAGCCGGAAGATAGCCGCCCCTGCATGAAGTCGATGTTTCCTTTGGAACCTTGCTTCAGGTGGCCCTTGATTTGTGCTTTGAATTGCTGGGCGGGCATTTGAAGCCGAAGGCACCCCTTGGAAGCTGATTTCCAGTTTCTTTGCAGGGAGTCTTTGGGACCCAGGTGTCGAGGCCATTTTTTTTTTTAAGCTTCCTTTTCCGACCAACTTACGCAGGCCCAATTTCATTTCAGCTGCTGGTGCTGTGCATCCCCCAAGTCTTTTGCAAGGAACCGAATCTCAAATTGTGGCAAGTGACAAGACATGTTCATTATGGCTACTGAGCATTTCCTCGTCGATGCCCTGTCAATCTTAGCGAAAGGGGCCTTGACCCATATGCTAGGATTGCCCTTTTCAGGCCACCTTACTGCGCGCACACACACATAATGTATATGACACATAATATATATATATATATGTAGATATTACACAGACACTTACACATATGTATGATATATATATATATATATAACAAGACCTCCAAAGTGTAAGCGTTCTCGTGCAGGTGTGCCAAATCCTCTTGGCAAAAGGGCCATGCTTTAAATGCCGCCGTTTTTGGTTGACGTTCTCCGAAGAATGCGCAGCATTTGCCCGGAGGAGCGGTTGGTCTTCCGAGAAGAAGAGCTACTGCTGTGAGACGTACACCCTGGGCTGCGAGGATCGAATCAAGTGGGCCTTCCAGGTTTGGTGTATGGGAATCAAGCCCCAGAATAAAAGCCAAGGGTCAAAAGAAGGCCCACCCTTGTTCCCCCCCCCTAGCCCAGTTCGGTTGTCTCAACCTTGGTGGTCGGGTGGTTTGCTGTGGATGAAATGTGAAGCCCTTATGTTGTGTTGCCTGCAGAGGAGAGTGACGTCTTGCCCATGGAGACCGGTGAGGTAAATGATGCTGTGGAGGCAAGGGGTGTCGAAACATCGAAGTCGCAGGAAACTCTGGAGGTATTTTCTCAAAATAGGGCCCCTCATTTTGGACCCAAGAACACCATTTCGTGGATGAGAGGCCTACATTCCAGGCTGTTTGGCGTGCAGTGCTCAGCTTCTGCGAAAGGAATCGCACAAGGCAACGCACTCACCACTTAAGACGTCGAAACCATCAAAGTATCGGATGCGGAGACGGACGGGGGGCAGGGTGACGCCACTGTCTCCTCCGGCGGTGACATGGACGAGCTGGAGGCTGGTGTGAGGGGTTGAGGTGGATAGAGAAGCTTTTTAGAAGTGCCAAAGAGTCCATGTTGGCCTGTTATATATTGAAACGTATTCAAGTATTCAGCCTGCCCATGTGGGGGGGGGTCGCAGACAGATTTGAAAGTGTCAATTGACACAAGTCCAAGGTTGGTTTGTCCGCAAAGTTCAGGATCCTTTCAGGATGCTTGGCATCCTTTTGGTTCCCCCAAAACAGGTTTACACTGTCCTGAGACAGAAAAGACTATCTTTTACGCATATGTCTGGCGCATCGGCGCTTTTGCACGGCTTGGAATGTGTCGCTCACTGCTCACACGAATCTCCTTAAATCCATTGCATACCTTGCCACGGCAACATCGACCACTCAGCCTACTAAAGTAGCCAAATACACGGACGCAAAGTGGCGGAAAGCCGGGGTGCGGGGGCAGGGCGACGCCACAGTCTCCTCCGGCAGTAACATGGACGGGCTGGAGGCTGGTTTGAGGTGGATAAAGGCGCATGTTTGAAGTGCCAAAGCGTCCGTGTTGGCCTGTTATCTCAATATTGAAACGTATTCAAGTATTCGGCTTGTCCATTTGGGAGGGCAGACAGATTTGAAAGTGTCAATTGACACAAGTCCGAGGTTGGTTTGTCCGCAAAGTTCAGGATCCTTTCAGGATGCTTGGCATCCTTTTGGGTCCCCGCCCAAAACAGGTTTACACTGTCCTGAGACAGAAAAGACTATCTTTTACGCATATGTCTGGCGCATCGGCGCTTTTGCACGGCTTGGAATGTGTCGCTCACTGCTCACACGAATCTCCTTAAATCCATTGCATACCTTGCCACGGCAACATTGACCACTCAGCCTACCAAAGTAGCCAAATACACGGACGCGAAGTGGCGGAAAGCCGGGGTGCGGGGGCAGGGCGACGCCACAGTCTCCTCCGGCAGTAACATGGACGGGCTGGAGGCTGGTTTGAGGTGGATAAAGGCGCATGTTTGAAGTGCCAAAGCGTCCGTGTTGGCCTGTTATCTCAATATTGAAACGTATTCAAGTATTCGGCTTGTCCATTTGGGAGGGCAGACAGATTTGAAAGTGTCAATTGACACAAGTCCGAGGTTGGTTTGTCCGCAAAGTTCAGGATCCTTTCAGGATGCTTGGCATCCTTTTGGTTCCCCCGCCCAAAAGAGGTTTACACTATTCTGAGACAGACACAGCTATCTTTTACGCATATGTTTCGTGCATCGGCACCTTTGCACGGCTTGGAGTGAACCGCTCAATGCTCACATGACCCTCAGTGAATCCATTGCATACCCTCACCACGGCAACATTGACCACTGAGAGTCGCGGAGAGCCGGGCTGCAGGGGCAGGGCGACGCCACTGTCTCTGGCGGTGGCATGGGCGGGCTGGAGGCTGGTGTGAGGGGTCGAGGTTGGATTGAGGGGCGTTGGAAACGTCTCCAAAGCAAATTGGTTGGCCATACGGCCATACTGGGAGACTCAAGCATTTGGGAATCCCCGTGTATTGAGTTTGTGCATCTTGGAGGTTGAACCCATTCGACCGGTTGACATGACACTGGTCCGGACCAGTTCGAAGCCCATGGCTCAGACTGGGAGACACCACTGCCGATTTTTTTTAGAGAATCGGCGTTGTTCCAAAAGCGTGCACGGGCATTCCGCAAGCAGGTTGGTTGGTGTTTCTATTAATTCTTAACCCTTCCAGGGTGGGTTTGCTTTTGGCTTCCCATGAAGCTGAGCCGAGAACAGCTCGTTGTTTCCGCAGGCCTGCACAGCATGCTGTGTGCTTCTCGTATTTGCAGGTGTAGTGTTTAGTTGAATGCATGAGCACTTGAGAAGTGCTGAAACTCACTGTGGGTCGCATTTTCCACGGAGCATATACCAAAGGTACTGAACGCACAATGAGAGTGCTCAGGGAGGTTGCGCCCGGGCAAGTCCCTTGCACGTCCTAGTGGCGGAAATTGAACCACTCAGACAAATGGGTGTGTCGTTTGTGGGGGAACCCTGAAATGGTGCTTTGCAGCCGGAAAGAAGGGTGCCTTCAACAAGAAGACACAGCCTTCTTCCATGACCCGTGCGTCTGGGGTCAGGACGCCAGCACTATTTCCGGCGAGATGGGCGGGCAGGCTGGTGCCAAAGGCTGAGGTGGATCGATGTGATTTCCCAAATCACGGGGATTCCAATAATTAGCCAAGTAAGGTAGTGACCAGGTAGTGCGTTTGGGAAGTTGCTTCCCTCAAAATCAGATGCACCGTTGGGTGTCCTCGTTGAGGCCTTCTTAAGAATCGAGACAAAGGGCGACTTTGAGACAGACGCATCTTTTTTTCCCACATGCTGATGGCAGTGCTTCTGCTTGTGAAAATGTTGGGCATGGATCGCTCAACACTCACTGCAGAGAGGTTTCCCAGAATGGTGGACCCCCTTTGGTTGGTATTTGAATGGAAACGTGGGAACAAACAGAACCCCCCCCAAATCTTTATGGTAGTGGCCACACTGGAAACTGTCAAAGTAGCAAGGTGGATGCAGAAAAGCGGGGGCCGGGTGCAGGGCGATGTCGCTGTCTCCTCCGGCGGTGACATGGACGGGCTGGAGGCTGGTGTGAGGGGTTGAGGCGGATCCGGGCGCATTTGAGAAGTTTCCAACATCCCGGTTGGCCACTCGGGAATTCTCAATTTTGCGCCAAAGCGTTTATTGTTTTTGTGCGTTGGGAGGCGAAGCAAGGCCGCCATCGAGGCCTTGCTTAGTGACTGACGCCAGTCCCGACCAGTCCATTCAAGGTGCCGTCTTGCTTCTTGTTTTGAGGACATAGTTTGATAAGCAGAGGGTGTTTGGTTCGGGGTATAGGACGTCAGTATTTGTGCTCATAACCACAAAGGGACACTGGCCAGACGGTACGTGACTGTTGCAAAATTATTTTTCTTGGTGTAACACCAAGAGTGGAAGATACCATCGATACACATTGTGGACTTGTATTTCCGTCTCATAGTTCTACCCGTGGCGAGCATACGCTTGCAGATTGCATGTGCTGCCTAACAACCCATTGCGCAAGCTTGGAGTCGCGGGTGCCGGCGCTTTTCAGATGTCGTTTTGAACACATTTCATTTCAGGGGTTGGCGTTCCTCAGAATTGAGGTTTCCCATTTTGAGACAGACCCGGGTATTCCCCTCCTTTCCACGTGCTTGGCGCGTTGACACGTTTGCAGGCCTGCAGTGCAAGCTCTTTGATGCTTAATTCATGTCTGGGATGAAGCGTTCAATACCTTTTTTTGTAGATCCTTTACCACTCAGCTAAGTCTCCAACAATCTGCAAAGTACACGCATGCGGAGACCTGGGGGCAGGGCGACGCCAGCACTGTCTCCTCCGGCGACATGGACGGGCTGGAGGCTGGTGCATAGGGATCGAGGTGGGTCCGGGCGCATTTGAGAAGTTCCCAACATCCCAGTTGGCCACTCGGATTGCCAATTTTGCGCCAAGGCATTGTTTATTGAGTTTGTGTGTTGCGAGACTAATTTGGCTGCAATTGCATGACGTAAGCTGGGATTTTGTCGTGCATTTTAGACGACCGTGTTTTCCGTGTACAGGCTACTGGCTGTTTGTTACTCTTTCAAGTGCTCATACAAAGGTCTGGGATAAAATCGCTCAATACTCACTGTGGACCCCCAGTTCATCACCTGTAAAGTCCATTCAGCCACCGCAACAATGACCACACAGACTCTGACCGCTCAGACTCTGACCACTCAGACTTTATAACTCTCAAAGTAGTCAGGGGGATGCGAAAACGTGGGGCTGGGGGCAGGGCGACGCCAGCACTGTCTCCTCCGGTGGCGACATGAACGGGCTGGAGGCTGGTGCAAGGGATCGAGGGGGTTCGCCGCGCATGTGAGAAGTGCCCCCAAATTCCCGGTTGGCTGTTATGGAGGGTGTACTGGCGAGGTTGAACTTATGCGAAATGACGCCAGTCCGGACCAGTTCAATCCAGGTGCTTTCTTGGTTTTTGTTCGATGAGGATGTAGTATGATAGTCGGAGTGTGTTATTGTTTAGGCTTAGAGGTATAGTCATGAGTTTTGGAGATGCATCCATAACCGCAAAGGGACACTGGCCACACGGTACGTGACGGTTATTGCAATATGTGTAGAGTACGGCGTGTTGGCCTGAATACCGATTCTTTGTGCAACACAAAGAGTGGAAGATACCATCGTAACACGTTGTGGACTTGTATTTCTGTCTGATAGTTTAGCCTGAGGCAAGCACACGCTTGCAGATTGCATGTGCTGCCTAACAACCCATTCCGCAAGCTGGGGGTCGCGCGTGCCGGCGCTTTGCAGATATTCGTTTTGAACACATTGCAGGCCTGTAAACAGGAGGTTTTCCATTTTGAGCCAGACCCAGGTGTTCCCTTCCACGTGCTCGGCGCATTGACACGTTTGCAGGCCTGCAGTGCAAGCTTTTTGTTTGGTGTTAATCCTAGTTCAAGTCTAAGACGAATCGCTCAATTCTGGCTGCTGATGCCCAGTGCATCCCTTGTAGATCCTTTACCACTCAGCTAGGTCTCCAACAATCTGCAAAGTACATGCATGCGGAGACCCGGTGTCTGGCAGGGCGACGGCAGTGTCTCCTCCGGCGAGCTGGACGGGCTGGAGGCTGGTGCAAGGGATGCGAGAGGGGGGTCGAGGCGCACCACGTGAGAACTGCTCAACATCCCGGTTGGCCACTCGGGGAACCCCCCCCCCCCCCCAATTTTGCGCCAAAGCTGAGGCGTTGCTCAACACTCGTGGCGTCAACTGGGATTTCGTCGTGCTGTTTAGACGACGGTGTTGTCCATGCCCGGACGGAGGTGGTTTCGACGGGACCTTCCAGGGTTGTGTCTCTCATAAGCCAAAACGGGGCTGGTGAGATCGACCGAGGCATCCTCTCCCTCCCACATGCTTGCCGTATTGATACAGGCCACTGGCTGTTTGTTACGCGTTCAATTGTCTGGGGTAAAATCGCTCCATGCTCACTGTGGACCCCCAGTTCATCCCCTGTAAAGTCTATTCAACAACCGCAACAATGCCTGACCACTCAGACTCTGACCACTCAGACTTTATAACTCTCAAAGTAGTCAGGGGGATGCGAAAACGTGGGGCTGGGGGCAGGGCGACGCCAGCACTGTCTCCTCCGGTGGCGACATGAATGGGCTGGAGGCTGGTGCAAGGGATCGAGGGGGTTCGCCGCGCATGTGAGAAGTGCCCCCAAATTCCCGGTTGGCTGTTATGGAGGGGAATTTGAATCATCAATGTTGAAACAGCATCCCATGTGTACTGGCGAGGTTGAACCTATGCGAAATGACGCCAGTCCGGACCAGTTCAATCCAGGTGCTTTCTTGGTTTTTGTTCGATGAGGATGTAGTATGATAGTCGGAGTGTGTTATTGTTTAGGCTTAGAGGTATAGTCATGAGTTTTGGAGATGCATCCATAACCGCAAAGGGACACTGGCCACACGGTACGTGACGGTTATTGCAAGATGTGTAGAGTACGGCGTGTTGGCCTGAATACCGATTCTTTGTGCAACACAAAGAGTGGAAGATACAACCCATTCCGCAAGCTGGGGGTCGCGCGTGCCGGCGCTTTGCAGATATTCGTTTTGAACACATTGCAGGCCTGTAAACAGGAGGTTTTCCATTTTGAGCCAGACCCAGGTGTTCCCTTCCACGTGCTCGGCGCATTGACACGTTTGCAGGCCTGCAGTGCAAGCTTTTTGTTTGGTGTTAATCCTAGTTCAAGTCTAAGACGAATCGCTCAATTCTGGCTGCTGATGCCCAGTGCATCCCTTGTAGATCCTTTACCACTCAGCTAGGTCTCCAACAATCTGCAAAGTACATGCATGCGGAGACCCGGTGTCTGGCAGGGCGACGGCAGTGTCTCCTCCGGCGAGCTGGACGGGCTGGAGGCCAGCTCTGGTCCAATTGAGCTGCCTGGAACCCAATGCCACGAGGGAGTCGCTTTGCTCACACGCGTTCCGGTGCTTTGTAGAGAATCGGCTTTTCAAAAAAATGCTTTCAAATCAGAGGTGTTGTGTTTCTAAGAAAACCCGATATCCTTTCCACTTGCTTGGTGTGTTGATGCTTCTGGCCTTTACTGGCTGTATGTTTGGCGTACGGCGTAAGGCGTTGGGTTGGGTTGAGAAGAATCATCCAATGAATGCTCCCTTGTCCACTGACATGGAACCCACCAGAGGGTCTATGTTGAAGGAAAAAGGTCCTAACCAGGACCCCGAAACTTCAGGAGCCACAATCCAAGGGATAGTCCCAACAATAAATCGGTGTAGCCGCCTGTTTAGCTTCTGTACATGTTATAATACCAGGTTTTGAGTATGACTCAGGTTCCATGGCAACGTGGACGGGAGGGTAGCTGACCGCGGTAAAAGTCACAGCAGCTAAGTCTTAGCTAAGTCTCCAGTGGCAAAACTTACCTCTCAGTTAATTGTCCAACCAGCAAAGTAGCGGATGCAGACGGGACGAAATGGGTCGGGGGCAGGGCGACGCCACTATCTCCTCCGGCAACATGGAGGGGCTGGAGGCTGGTGCAAGGGATCGAGGTGTTTGAGGCGCATATTGGGGATTCCCAAGTTGGACACGTGGCCTGGGTGTTCGGTTTGTGCGTGGAGGGCGAGCCGACTTAGCTGTCTCAAACGACACCAGTCTGGATGAATTCAGATCGAGGTGCTGCTGAAAGGCCACACCAGCCGTTCAAATTTGAGCACATTGCACCTGTGGCGTAAACTGATTGCTGTGCTGATATTCTTGTGCTTTCTCTTTAAGTGCTGCTGTGCAACACGCTTTTTGTTTCGTGCAATGACTGGGATGTATCGCAAATGCCCACTGACCATCGGAAAATCTTCAGTGAATCCTTGTAACCATGGCAAACCGACTCAGCTATGCCTCAAACCATGCAAGTGGCGTACGTGGGGACCGGCAGGGAGACGTCAGCACTTTCCCGTCCGGGATAGATGGCACGGAGGCGTGAGGGAGTTGAGGCGCATTTGAGAGGTGTCCAAAATGGTTGGCTTGCTGCCCACACCTGTTCTCTTTTGGGGAATATGTCACGTTTTCAGCTAGCGAACTTTGAGAGATCATTGAAATGGCAAACAAACAGTTCCAGGAATTTGTCTCACTGTTCCGCTCAGAAGGTGAGCTGTGGAGTTAGTCAAATCAGTCAAACGCAGAGCCAGAGCCACCTTGTTGGGGAGAATTGCTTGGATGTTCAACCCACGTCAGGTACGTAGATAAGTAGGTTATGACCATCAGCCTGCAAACAGGCAAGAGGACCCAGCCAAAACCGTTTATCATGCCGTCATGCAATCCACTAGCACCCTGCGCAGCGCCCTATACCCAACAGCACACCTTGAAAGCACGCCGAACTCCGAGTCTGAAACGCAAGCAACACCCCGCAACGGTGTAACCTCACCGACCCTGCAACAGTCAGTGTACAGCAACCATACTATGCAACCCTGCCATGGCGCCACCAAAAGCACCATTCAATCACTACAAGCCGGTTCCCCGCTTAAAGAGTGTTCCGGGCAAATTCTGACACATCCTAGACAAGGTTTATCTTTGGGCGCGGGATCAAACCAACTGACCTGCTGTGATTGAAGATAAAAGTATGACGCCTTCAGCTTCAACCCCACAGCATGCATGGGATGTTCCTAGACTCCCTAGACTAAGCCAAGCAGTAAGAAAAGTGGGGGTCCAAACTCAGATTTGGGATTGGAAGGACAGCATCCCCAGTACAAGGGGCTCAAGAATTACAAACATGATTCTCCCATGAACATGACATCATTTGTGTCAATAGTACCCCACAACCCCGTTCTAGTTCCACAAGGGTCAGTTGGCTTGAACCTCCCCTTTTGTTCGGAGGGTCATCTTTTGCGGGTCTGATGTGCAGTGAGGAGGTCTTAACCATGGCGATGATTAAGCAGTGTGATTGTGATTTGGACGCCGTGTAGACCATTGTTGAAATGTCCTTGCAAGGAACCACAAAGGGATGTATACTGTATAACTTCTCTCCGCTTTCCTTTCAACCGTTTCGACACCCAGTCAAGAATTTGGCTATTTGACGGCGGTTCTTACCCCAATCGGGAGAAACCAACGCGAGCTCACGATGATGCGGGCCTTTTGCTTGGGGATCGAATTCTTATTTCAGGTGTTTTAGGTATTGTTACCCTAATTTTGCAGATGACCCGGGCGCGAAGCCAAACGTTTGGCATCGTTTGGCTTCCTTTTCACGCACCCCAAAGGGACCCGGCCCCGTAGCACGCCCAATCGCAGGCTTCCAGCGATGTGTTTCCAGAAGGCTCCGGTTGGGATGGGGGCTATCGTCACAAATCCATTCAAAGGGCTCCCCTATTTGGAGGAAGGGCCATAGAGTATATGGGAGGTTTCAACTGGCCCCCAAATGCATCGAAGGTGGCGAGCACGGATGATGGCGCAGTAATCAACTGATGGGCACTGCCAAGCAGTGAGCCGCTTGATTCGCAGCCTTCGATCAAAGGCAAAAGGGTGTGTCTCATATGCGGGGGGGGATCTAGCTTTTGAGAGATGCTGGGAAAGCAAATGGCCGGAAGCAGATTTTGGGGCTAGGACATAGCATGCATGGTCCCTTCTGTGGCACTGATGCACAAAATCCACAAGACGCACCAGTTGGGATGGATGAAGCCTCATGGTGCAGGAAGTGCCCCGTGGGTTCGATTTCTTGAACTTGCCAACCTTCCAAGAAGGCGGCGCCGCTTGCCGTTTTTGATCCAAATTCACGGGGCGTTTGAAAAGCGCGAGGAAAGCGCGCGGCAAAGCCGGCTTTCGCGCCCAAAACCACAGGCTTGCTTCGAGCTGCAAGATCAGAGTGGATTGAATAAGGGGACCCCTCTTCATGGGTTTTGCTTCAAGCACCGGACCTGTACAGACCAACCCCCCTTAGAAAGGGGGGAAGAGCGGTAGCCGCCGTTGGTTGTATGGTCGTCGTGTCGATTGTCGTTCCTACAACTGGTTGTTTGTACGCGTGATGCAGCAAGGAGCCCTGTAGCCACGGAATTTCCCTAGGGCCATGGATTCTCCGGTGACTCGGTGCCCTTTGAAAAAGACAGGGGTCTCAAAAAGCTGGGTGACCGACTCAAAGGTGTTCCCGGAAACCGATCACAGCCAGTTGTCTATCTTTTGGTGCTCCAGGCGGTCCATTGAAGCAACTGAGCTTTGGGTATCATGTAGCGGGTGGTGCCTGAAGTTTTTGTTTTTGAACAACCCCCCGCTTAACGTACACAGGGAGCCCAGTAGATGTCCCGCTCGTCCTGCACGCAGTGACTCCCCCCTCCCACACATCACGTGCCGTACCTCCGTGCATGATTCGCCGCCTCCTCGTGTTGTCAGCTCACGTGTGCAGATGACCAAGGCAGACTCTTCCCGGTTTGTCAAGCCCTTAAAGCCCTTCCATGACTTTCGGGCTCGCGCCATCTCCGGAATTCGGGCTCGAGCGAAAGCTACAAGTGGCAACGGAGCTTGAAGCAAGCCAGGCAAAATTTCACGGGCCTGCGGGACTTGCATTGAGCAACGGTCAATATTCCCGTGTAAAGAAGTCATGGGGTGAATGTCAGACACCAATCACTCAACTCTAAATGAGGGGTGCAGGGACCGGTCCCTATCTGGATCAGGTTACACCTTACCTAAGAGGGCCACTTGGAGCCCTGAGCCTCCCTTGGGAAACATGGACCCGCTCAGATTCCGCCAAAGAGGGCCTTGTACACTGCCTCGCAAAGACGTTGCGGAAAATGGTTGAACGCTTTGGGCTGGTGAGATGAGCTGGAGTGAACAATTCTCGGGGTCTTGGTGAGCGCGCTTCTGTGATGTGATACTCTTTGAAGTGAGTACAAGTAGCCATTGGGAATCAATCACTTTGGTATCACAAGGGCGACTTTCTGCCTGCAAACCCAGAGAATGCCGGGACGATGCCTTTGAAGGGCCTTGGTTTACTGTTCCAGGGGGTTGACGCCATATCCTTCTTTTCAGCCATCCTTCAGCCGTTTCCCCAGGGTCTTCATTCATGGATTTCTGGGGAAGATGCAGATCCCTCGAAGACTTCTGTGCTCAACAGGATTCACCAGGTTCCGGCGATCAACCACAGGACGACGGTATTTTGGCCCGATCTGACAGGGTTGTGTCGTTTTGAGGGGAACCCCATTTTGGGTGGTTTTAAGGGAAACCTTAAAATGACCCACCTGTCACTTTAGCTGACTGATTCCCTTGTTGAGACGCGGTAGACTTGAACGGTTATTTGCTTGTCATAGAGTCATACATGCAAATTGGCTTGCTGAGGTTTGCGAAACATGTAAATGCGGGAGTTCTCCATCCCACCTCGAAGTGTTGGAGAGGATGTACTTTGCGGTCAAGCTGGAGTGTATCGAGTTTTGCGAACCCATTTTGACTGAAGTCCAGAGGAAGTTTACGCTTTTGGGGGTCGCCCTTGCTTTTTCACACGCCTGCCTCTTGCCCAATTTGAGTGACCAAGGCGAGTGAGCGAGCGCGGAGTTGCGCGCGGAGAAGCTCGGGGCATGGCGATGTTAAGTTGTTCGAGAGAAAAGCCGCGAGTGGAGCGAAACAAATCGATCGGCGCCCGATAGAATTGGTGAATCCCAGAAAAAGGTCTTGACTGCTATTGGGTTATATCTTGAGACTTTAACTTTTTGGGGAAATCAAGAGGTTGTCCAATAAACCCGCAAAAAGTTAAACTCTTTGCAGGGGCATGCCAACCGTACCGGTGCCTGGATTGTGTCCATTCCGCCTGGTTCTTGCGCAGGGCAACTGCGAAAATTTTCGGAACGCCGCCACTAATCCAAACTGCCCTTTGTCTTGGCACACGAAAAGTTGGCACAGCGAAAATCGGATTTGCAAATTATGTTTCATTGTTGGTACAATACATCTATATACATTATACATATATACAACATATATACACACACATATATATATATATATACACATAAATACACAATACATAGATTATATACATATATACACATCCATATCATGCATAAACATATATATATATACACAATTATGTATAACCATGTTTTAGAGACCAGGAGACCCCCGGGTTTTGAGGGGAGCATCGCCAGGACGCCCCGAAGCCGGAGCCCAGCCCTGTGAGGCGTCGGCGGAGTCAGGGAATTTCGGCGGATTCTGGGCCTGGCGCTTCCCCTTTTTCGAGTTTCGAGCTGGATTGTTGTTTTTCGAGATGGACATTTTCGAGTTTTTTGTTGTTGAGTGTTTTTTTTTTTTTTTTTAAACAAGAAGGAGAACTGAAAGGACCACCATTATTTATTGTTTGGGGTGGGGTCTCCCAGGAAAAAAAAAGTGCAACAAGCAGCCAGAGGTGTGTCTTTTTGAGGTATTGCAAAATTGGCCCAGACGGTTTTCCTGTTGGTTTCCCTCGCAAAAAGGACGGTAGCCTCAAACGAGGCAGGTAGGGGGACCCTTCGAGTGGTTTCCTTGTGGCTTCCCTTAGCCATCCAAAAGGGTCCATTTGGAGAAACGGGCTAGTCCCTTGGACTTGATGGCTTGGCAAGCGACGCAGATTGGATGTTGGGCCACCTAGGCCCTCCTGGCATTTGAAATCAGGCAAGCGAAGCTTGGAGGTTTTTTTGGGCCACCTCAAAAGCCCTCTTGCCATTTGAAATCACCATCCCCACGCGCCCAATCCCCCAATCCCCAATCCCCATCCACCCCACCCCTCTGAATTTTACCACCCAAAGAATCGCCACTTCCCCACGGATATATCCGGACGGATCCGAGTTCTCACGCAGGCGCCGCTTTCGGATCCTGGAGGCCAATGGCGCCTTTGCCCGGCGCCCGGCTGGGGATTTCAGGTCTGTGGTGCTTGGAATGGATGCAGATGAGAGCCTTCAAAGCGAGGCACTTTTGGACGCCGGCACAGTGTACACTCTCTCAGACCAACATGGAATTTTGCCAGGCCGTAAATGGAACCAAGTCTTTAGGGGTGGGAGTCCGCTTCCATGTTGGCCTGGGGGAGGTATGCTTATGTGCAGTGTGTCAAGTCGACTATGGACACGATGGCTTCAAGAGTGAAAAGCGGTGAAGTGTTCAAAGGTTTTCTTAAAGCAGGGATGTTCATTGGGTGGCGCGGCACCCCGTAACTGCGATGTACGGCACCCCTTTTCTGTGGCTTGCGGCAGCTTTCTCGGGGCAGGCTCCGGAAAGTATTCAGATGGTTTGAGGCTTGGCGAAATGGTTTAGTGTTGAAGTAGCTGGTCTGGCGTATTAATTGCCTTGCAGGACCGTAAGTGAAAAGAGTGTGTCGAGCACGGATCCTTCATTTTTCGGGACTTGGCTAACCCTAGCCACAATCGTTTCCAAGGAGGTTAAACTGGGGCTATTCCTGGACCATCCAAGCACTCCCCTGAAATCAAACATCACCATTGGAGCCTTGAAAGTGGTGAGACCACCAAAAAGTGGCCCGCAAAAAAGACATACCCAGGTGGTGGCACAGTTGTTCATCATAGGCTAGTTTGACATGGCCCTAACAGCTTGAGGGTTTGACACCCCTCACTCGAGAAGAAGCAGCATATAGATGTCTTAGAATCATGGTTTGACTTGAGTCGTTGGCTACCTGAGACAGGCGCTCGAAACAGGCTTACACACTTCAACATGACAGTCATGGCACTCGCGCTTCTTCCCTCTGACTATTGTGCAAATCGTCCGCAACTCGTCCATTTTGCTGTGTGTTTTTTGGGCACCCTTTCTAGGTTTGTTCAAAGGGGAAGCCAAAAGGACTGCCATTTTGAGAGTCCGAAACCATATTTTTGACCCATGCCTATTTCCATTGGCCGTCCATCCGAAAGGAGGTTAAACAAAATCGCTGGCCCATTGGGGCCAAGGAGCTGGGTGTATCCAAATCTGCGTTTAAAACAGGGAGAGCTGCCAGGGTCTGTAGGGACATGGTAACCCCACAAATGCTAAAGGCCAGGGGTAATCCGAGCAAACCCAAGGACTTCTTTCAGTTGTTTAGAGGGCTCAGGGTGTAAGAGTTCATGGCCCAGGGCAAGCTAAGCCATTTGCTGAAATGAGCATTTGTTTTGTTCCACCTGTTGATTTTGACGGGAATCGATCACTAGGATTATGTTCTCATGCAAGCCCAAACGAGAAAAAACAAAAAGAAAAACAAAGGAAAAACGAGAATGGAAGTTTTGGGAAGCTGATGTTCACTGGGGTTCCTTGGTTCGGGGTTGCAATGTGCATGGGAGATCCCATGCGCTTTCTCCGGATGCCCGCGCTGTCCACTGATTGCACACATGGTGATAACATGGTGACCTCTCAATGTTTAACTTGCAGCCTTAATTTTGGAACCATCTCAAAACTGGTTGGTGGACATAACTCCTTGAACTGATGCCGACCATTTGGACCCCCCATTTGAAATTCGTGAAATGCGTAACCTGTTC